TGCTCGGTGGGCAGTAACAAGGAGTCTGCTGGTCACTTTGGCTAGGCCCATCCTTTCAGCCCAGTAAACAAGAGCAGGTCTTGTTAATACCTCAGCTTCTGGGGAAATGATTTCTGCTAACCAAACCCATGAGGACAACTGGTCTATAAACCAGAATGCAGTATATTAACAGAAAATGTAAGATAGAACTCCCAAACTGGCTGAATGTGTGATGCCTATTGATTTATTTTCCCCTGTTCCGGTTTATTAATCTTCATTGGGGGCTGTCCCTTTGCAAGGATTAGAATACTATGTCTGATGACAGGGTGTCCCCTTCACAACTTCTGGGTATCTGAAGAATCAAATTAGGTAGCTTGGTGAGCCAGGAACCAGAATTAGTGGGGAGGGAAGTGTAAGGCCACGTTTCTCAAAGCAGAACACTCTTACATGAACAGCTTTTCAAAAAAGGACTCTTGATGCCAATTAAGTTTGGAGAAGTCTTCATGCCTCGCCCCCTCCTGGAAATTCACAATGTGTGTTGGCCTATTCAAGACTCTGAAATGAACATAGTTTTATCAGAAATTTTCCGAATTTATTTGACCTCAAAACCATTTTCCCCCTACTCTTGACACTCTCAGATGGCTAACCCTGGGCGAAGGCCAGGGATGGTTTCTGGGAAGTAAGGGGCTGCGTTCCTCTACCCAGGGCCTCTCCCCGCCCAGTTCAACCTCCTGGGCCCCCTTTCTTGTTCTCCCTGTTGACCAACCTCTGCTGACAAATTCTTTCTTTACTTGCATTGTGTAGGCACTGACAGGCCTCTACACCCTGAAGTCAGCTGCGGAAGCCTTTTTGTGTTTAAGATGACTTCTACACCAGCAACAGAGGAGGAAAGTGCTATTTAGAAGAAAAGGTTGAAGGAATTCAAGAAAAAAACCATTAACTGCAGGTACACTGAGCTAATAAAGAAGCAGATATCCTTGAGGAACTTAGAAATTCAGGCATGGACCTGGGCTGAGTTTGAGGATGAGGTCTGGGGAGACCAGAATTGCTCTTACTTTTACAGTGAACAGAATCTGAGTGTCAGGGGTGATCTTCGAGGGAGAGGTGGGGAGAAACCCTGGAAAAGAAGAAGCCAGATTTAACAAATAAAATTATAGAATGTCTAATAAAATTTGAATTTCATGTAAACAATAGATAATTTTTAATAAAACGTATCCCATGCAATATTTGGGATGTATTTATACTAAAGATTATTTGTTATTTATGTGGAATTCAAATTTAAATGAACATCCTATATTTTATCTGGCAACCCTATGTAGCTGCAAGAGGGGGAGGCTTGGGTGTGGCTGGAGTAGGGAGTGGAAGGAGATAGGTCAAAGCTGGTGACAGAAAGACTACCTGCCTCTCTGGGACAGGCAGCTGTTTACTGCACAGTGTGGCCAGTGATCTGGAGAGACCACAGACAGAGTTCTGTTGCAGGTGGATACCTCATGAGGTGGAGCATGGGGACAGGAATGAAGGAGAAAAAGGCTGTATCTCACATTTGGGATGACACAGGGACAGAGAAAAAGCAGAACAGCCTTGTGCAGGGTGGAGTCCAAGAAGTCATGAAGCAGGAAACTGGAGCAGGGTTTTGGGATGACCTCTGGCACAAGAGCATCACCTCCCCCACTTACCACCAAAGGATTCTCAGTGTCTGGGAGAGCATCTGACTTGATGAAGGAGGTAGAATAGGGCTTGATCCAAACTTCTCTCTAGACCCCAAGGAAACGGTTACTCCAGTTGACATTTGAGTCACGTATATTTGTATACGTACACACGTGTATGTAGCTATGTGCTCTTATCTCTTACATGTTAGTTTTATTAGTCTAACTCTTGGAATCCTAGTGTTATCCTTAAAAGGGACCTCAGAGACCAGTTATTTAGGAAGAAACTGAGGCCCAGAGGAGTGAAATGGCTTGTCCAAAGTCACAAAGCTGAGCTAGAACCCCCTGCAGAAACCACAACTCTTTTTGCTATTCTAGATCTCTCCACATTCAAAAAAGTTAACATCTCTGTGTCTCGATTTCCTCATCTATAACATGGGGACAATAGTAGTATCATGCAGGATCGTTGCAAGGGTTAAATAAAATGATAGGTGATTAGAAGTGTCTGCCACAGCTACGTATTCAAAAGAATTGGCTGTTTTCCTTGTCATCTGTTCACACCTATGTTGTCCTCTGAAAAGCTGATGCTGTGATAAGATTAGACATGCAAAAGATTTATTAGAGGAAATGCCTCGAAAAGAAAAAGGGGAGTATGTTAATTATCTATCATTGCATAACAAATTATAACAAAACTTAGTGGCTTAAAACAAACATTTATTATTTCGCCAAGTTTCTGAGGATCAGGAATCTGGAGAGACATAGCTGGGTGGTTCTGGCTCAGGGCCTCTTAGAGGTTGCAGTTGAGCTGTCAGCAGTGGCTACAGTCAGCTAAAGTCTCTCAAGTTCACTCATGGCCTTTGGCTGGAGGCTTCAGCTCCTTACCATGTGGGCTAGAGCTGCTCAACCACATGGCAACTGGCTTCTGAGAGACAGAGACAGACAGACAGAGTCAGAGACGGAGTTAGAAACAGAGACAGAAGCTGTAGCATCTTTTATAACCTAATCTCAGAAGTGACATTCTATCACTTGTGCCATATTCTATTGGTCACACAGACCAACCCTGGTTCGATGTGGAAGGGAGCTACTTAAAACATGAATGCTGGGAGGTGGAGGTCATTAGGAGCCATCTTGGACACTGGCTACCACAGGGAAGGAACCAGAGAGGGTGAGCAGAACCTTCAGACCACGAAACAGGTCTGACCACTGTGAGGGAAAGGGGGAAGGAAGGAAGACTAGGTAGAAAGAGTGCTAGACTGCAGTCCAGTCTAAGAAGGTTTCCATCAGGCCAGTAGGCTGTCCTCAAGCCAGTCTCACACATTGGAGGGTCCTATGTTTTGCTGGAATGTGCCTGCGTTATACCCTCGCTGTGCTCAGGCATTGGCTGGAAATAGCACAGAGGAAGAATGGCCTCTGGTCAAAGGTGATGGTGGGTAAAGAGGGGCTGCAGCTGGGGTGCCAGTCAATTATGCTACCTGTAGCAGGAGATCTGAGCAGCACACTTTCACGGCTGTCACAACACCAAAGTGTCTTCCCCCACCCTATGATACATGAATTTAATCAAAGAAACTGTTCTTTCAAAGATAGTATGTGTGGTAGAGGGGATTGTGGGCCCAGGGAGATGTGAGGCCATGGGCTGAATCAATCACAAGAAAGTGATTTTTTTTCAGTCAACAAATATTTTCTAAGTTTTGGTTCTGCCTAGGCCTGGGTAGATACAGCCTCTAGCCTCCTGGCATTTCCAGCCTGAGCGGCCTGGCAGGGAAGTGCATCTCCGGGAAGGCTTCCTGCAGAAGGTCATGCCTTAGCTAAGTTTTTCAAGACTGTAGAAATTAGCCAAGCGAAGAAAGGAGAGGGCTCTCTGGCAGAGGGAGAAGCATATTTAAACATCCAGGAGTCTCCTTTCTCTCCAGCCCTTGAGTGGAAGAGATCTGGGCCTCCAGCTGGCCCCAGGTCAGCACTGGGTCAATTAATCACTAGCAGTCAGCAGTCAGTCGGTTGGCTAGTTTCAGGCAAGGTTCTGGACCTAATCTATGGCTCCCTGCCTTGTTGGATTACCATCAGGAAAGCAACAGGGAGAGAGACTCTGGCTAATCAATTGCATCCTCAGTTGTGAGCAGGTATTGAAAGATAGTAGGACTGGAATAGTAGAGGTGGAAGGAAAAGTGGCTGGCGCATCAAGGGCCAGATCACAACTCTTCCCACCCCTCCAGGAGCTGCTGCCGGCTCACTTCCGTCCTAGGGGGCGCTAGGGCCCAGAGCCTATATACTGAAGGCAAAATTGCAGGACTGGGGTCAGGGGAGATGAGGAGACACAACTGCACTCACCACCAAAAGTGTCCAAAATACCTGCAGCTTGGAGGCGTCCTCTCAATCTCTCCCCTCCCCCACCCCTCTGCCTCTGACTCTCCCTCCCTCTCTCCCTGCCTTCCCTTATATTTTTAAAAAATAAATGTAATATACAGTTGTTACAGAAAGCCTGACATTTGAGGATGAAAAATCACATATAACCCATCTTCTTCATAAATAACCCTAATAATTTTTTTTTGCTCCCGATTTTCTTATCTACATATATATTTTAACATGGCTGGAACAACACTGTAGATATAATTTTGTATTCAATTGTTTTATTTAATTTATTAAGCATCTTCAATATCACTACATGTTTTTATAATTTTAATGGAAGACTTTCATCAAGTAGTTATACCATAATTTATTTAAGTATTCTCCTATTATTGAACATTTAGATATTTTGTTTGTTGGTTGGTTTAACTATGATAAGTAATGCTATCGTAAATATGCCAATAGCTTTTCCTTCTAGTTATCATTTCCTTAGGATAGATTTCCAGAGGCGTTATTACTAAGGCAACGTGTACAAATCCTTTATTGACTCTAAATACATATTGCAAAATTACCATTTAAATATTTTCTACCTAGCAACGTAAGAGATTGCCTGTATTAGTCAGGGTTCTCCAGAGAAACAAAGGGCAGAGTAGATAGATTAGATAGATAGATAGATAGATAGATAGATAGATAGATAGATAGATAGATAGATAGATAAAGGTAGAGAAAGAGAGAGAGAGAGATTTAAAGGAATTGGTATGGAGGCTTGGTGACTCCAAAATCTTATGGAAGAGGCTGACAGGTTGGAGACTCAGGAAAAAGGCAGTCTCTAGAAAACTAGGAAGAGTCAGTGTTCAGTGAAGTCCAAAGGCAGTCTGCTCGAAAATTCTCTCTTCCTCCAGGAAGTCCACCTTTTGATCTATTCAAGACTTCAGCTGATTGGTAGAGGCCCACTACATTATGAAGAGCAATCTGCTTTGCTCAAAGTCTACCAATTTAAATGTAAATATCATCCAAAAACACTCTCACAGGGGTGGCTCCATAGTGTAGTGGTTAGCATGTCTGCTTTGCATGCAGAAGGTCCTGGGTTCGTGCCCCAGGTGGAGCCACAGACCATACCCTGCGTGTGCCAGGCCCCCCAAATGCGACTGGCCCTGGGTGCATGCCATGAGCGTGTGGGAGGAAACGCCCCACCTTCAGAGATCCAGTTCTTAAGAGGAACATCCATGGGTCAGGAGTGGAAGTGGGGGCGCGGGGGAATTAAAGAGGGGGGAAAAAATGAAAACACTCTCATAGAAACATACAGAATAATGTTTAACCAAATATCTGGGCACTGTGGCCCAACCAAGTTGAAACACAAAATTAACCAATAGTGCCATTTTTAACAAAACTTTGCAAGGACTAGGAATAATTTGAAAAATCATTTTTATAGTTTAATAGTTTAAAAATTATACTATTATTTTAAGGTACATTTTCTTTTGAGAATTGAACAGCTATTTTTTCCATAAACATGTGTGTATGCGTTTATAAATATATATATATTCTTAAGGTGAATTATCTATTCAAGTCCTTTATCCAGTTAAAATCTTAGTATTTTTCTTATTACTTTATATGTTTTATTGAATACCATTAGGGACACTTTGTCAGATTAGTTGTAAATATTTTCCCCATAATTTATTGTTTTTCTTTATCCTCTCCTTTCAAAATGTTAAAATTTTGTAGGGCCAGCAAAAAAAAAAAAAAAAGGCTTTGAAAGAATTTCTTAAGAAAAAGAACCAAAGTAAGATAAACTTAGAACAAACATTTGTATTTCTTTCTATAGGAAAATGGCTACTGGGAAACGGGCAAAAAGCCAAGGTGTTGCAATGGAAATGGCAATGGCCCTGAAACAGACAGTGTTCCCTTAATCTTGGCATCAGAGAAAGAAGCTCAATCAAAAGTGCAGACCCTCCCTGCAGGAGTTCAGGCCTTTGCAGGGGGCAGTGTGGATGGGTGCTCAGGAGACTCACCCAGAGAGATTAGTATTGCTGTGAACAGCGGAGGGCAGTTTTGCTGTGTTGTTTTGTTTTGGCAAGCGTAACCAGGACACAAATTGTCTTTCCTTCCCTAGTTAGTCACAACAATTCTAGCTTTGTCCAGGGTACGAACCACTCTGAAGAAATGAAGGAATGCACACTTATGTTCAGCATTATTGCAGCATTACTTACAATCGCCAAGAGATGGAAGCAACCTAAGTGCTCATCAATAGACAATTAGATAAAGCAAATGTGGTACATATATACAATGGAATGTTACTCGGCCATAAAAAAGAATGAAACCTTACCATCTGTGACAACATGGATGGTATTATGCTGGAAGGTATTATGCTAAGTGAAATAAGTCAAACAGAGAAAAACAATACCATATGATCTCACATATACACGGAATCTAAAGAACAAAAAAAGTGAACAAACAAAACAGACACAGACTTAAAGATAAAGAAAACAAACTGATGGTTGCTGATGGGGAGGGGATTGAAGGACTGTGTGGAAATGATGAAGGGATTAAGAAGTATAAATTGATAGTCACCAAATAGTCAAGGGGATGTAAAGTACAGCACAGGGAATATAGTCAATAACATTGTAATAACTATTTGTAGTGCCAGGTGAGTACTAGACTAATCAGGGGGATCGCTTCATAAATTATATAAATGTTAAAACACTATGCTGTATACTTGAAACTAATATATAATAATATTGAATGTCAACTGTAATTGAAAAAAGTAAAGAAACAAGTAAATAAATAAGAAAGAAAAGAAATGAGAGATGTGATCAAATTATCTTGAGGAGGTAAGTCCTCTGGAGTTTGCTAATCTCTCAGTTGAACTCTTAAAGACTTAAGGGCAGCCTGGCCAAATATTTGGCAGTGGCCTCCAATGGCATATCAAGTGACCAGCAAAATCCCAAAATGGAAAGGAGGTGTTTAATACATATTTTCATAGAATGAAATGTATTGAAACATAGTTGAAGCTGAGGGCAGCTGACATCAAATTGTTCGCAAGGGTTGTGTTGTGAATTTCAGTGAAATTAGCAAATAAGGTGAGACACCATTTATAGGGACGTCCATGCAGGGTGGAAAGATAGCCAACTCTACCTTCCCAACCAGACTGTGAGCATCTGGAAGGTAGAGTTGTGTCTTAATAACTTTTGCATCCCCAGTATCCGGCATAGTTTTTGGAAGAGATCAGTGATTTGGTAATTGTTGAACTAAATGAAGCCGCAAAATGTGATAATGGGGGATAGTACAAGAATCATTAAGGCAGTTTTAGATCAAGGCCTCTTCTGACTGGACAAAGTGTAATTTTCTCCACCCAGACTGGGCAGAGGACTGAAACATTTAAGTGCAGGCCATGTGCAAAGAGGCCAGCATCTCCAACCTCAGAAGTGAGGTCTGTGCAGCCCCGACAACCAGGAAAGCCTGAAAATCCCCTTAGACCTGTCAAGTCCTAGAGTAATGTAAGGTCTCGGGGCCAGGCTAGATCATAGCACAGCCAGCGGGAGAGTGTGATGCAGAAGCTCATTGCAGAGAAGCAACACCTAACAGAAGCAAGACCTAACAGGAGTTAGGTCTAAGGGTATATCAAGGCCAGCAGAAGAACAAGACTCAAGGACAGAAGCTGGGAAGATCCAGAACAGGTTTGGGAAGTTTGATGTATGTCGAGGCAAGTTACAAATGGAAGGAAGTTGTGGGACGCCCAATGATCTGTGGTCCAGCAGCATGGGACATCGTAAGCCACCAGCATACAGATGTATGCAGGATTGCGTAGCCACCAAGCAAGAAGAGAGGAAGGGACATGAGAGAAGGCCAGGGAGCGGGTAAGGCAGGCAATAATACCCAGAGGCATAAGAAAAATTGTGTTGACTCTTTCTGAGTGCCAGGAGTGACGATCAACAATAAAAGAAGCCTTGAGAGTAGAAGAGAGGGAGGGAGAAAGATGGCTTTAAGGATGAACCAGAGAAGGAGAGGCACTTCTGCCTGAGTAATGGGGCAGAAGAGGCAGAAAGGGTAGAAATGAGGGAGAAAGGACACAGACAAAACAAGAGAAGGATTTGGGTAGGTATTAGAAATAAAGTGGTCAAGGAGTTTCTGTGCCTAAGCTCCTGTACCTGGGTGTTACATCATATCCACGAGGGAGCCTACACCCATGGATGTGGGTCAGCAGGAGTCAAGCATGAGCAGGTGGAATCACAGCTTCTCAATGCTGCCATCAGAGCATCATAGACAATCCCAAAATAAATGGGTGTGGTTGTGTTCCAATAAAACTTTATTTATAAAAACAAGCAGCATCTGTATATGGCCTGTGGGCCATCGTTTGCCAGTCCCTCATGTTTTAGTGAAACTCTTGTGAGATTTACCACCAATTTCCCCAAAGGCTATCTTGGTTTTCGAACATGCAAGGTTCATTATTCTGCATTGCCTCAGCAAAGGAAGATAATTGAACTGAACGAAGACAAAGGAAGATACCAACTGTGAGTGAGAGGGCCATCCACTCCATGGCCTACAGTGAAAGGCTGGTGCAGAGGGTGGGAAGGCTCCATGGAAGGGAGAGCCATTTAAAAACAGGAGGGCCACTTCTATTATTGGGAAGCCGCAGGCTTAAAACTGAAAACAGGAGAGTCAGGCCATTTCTGGGAAGCACTATTGGAGGGAGGGGGAAATGGAGGCCTGGAGAGCAGCAATGGAGCATGAGGGCAGGGTCTTTGGGGCCTGAGGAGCTGCCTGTGAATGCCTTCATCTGTTAGGAGTCTGCTCTGTACCCAGTGCTGGGCTCAGTGCTGTCCCTGGAGTCCCCACTTAACCTTACCTCATCACAATCCTCTGGAAGGGGATCACTATCCTTGTTTTACCCAAGAGGAGCTTGAGGCTCACAGAAGTCTAAATCGGCAGTTCCCTAAATGTAATGCACAAACCTATGCTGGTCACAGTGCAGTAAGCACAGGAACTGAGAGACGATATTTGGAAAACTTTCAGCACTTTGACAGAGAAGTTGTATGCCCCTTGTATCTAATAATAAACATTTCACATAAAACTGCTAAGAGTAAATTTTAAAAGAACTGTGAAAAAGTCATATGAAGAAAAATTTTAAAGTGTTAACAAATAAATTTTTAAAAGTCTTGAGTAAATAAGAAGACGTCATGTTCCTACATGAAAAGCTTTAATGATATAGAGAAGTTAATTCTCCCTATATTCATCACTACAGTTAGAATAAAAATGACAGTGTTATTTTTTGGAACTTGGAAATTTGATCCTCAAGTTCATGTGGAAAAATACATTTTGAGTAAATGATCAGACATCAGAATCTAAAACTATAGTAATTTAAAGTAGTCTTGGCCCAAGAACTGGTAAATAAATCAATGCAAGGGAATAGTATCCAGGAAAAAAATTGTAGAAATTAAATGAAGATGCTGATAATGTTGAAACTCTGGTACAATTGAAATAATATCTCTATATATTTAGTCTCTAGAGATTTTTATTTCACTTTATAGTGTGGTTAGAAACACTTTCTTGTTCATGGTGCCTATCAATAAATATTTATTGAAAACAAAAAAAAATTTTTAATTACACAAGGAAAAAATAGGAGCAGGTTGTTTCACAGGACAGTGATTTGAAAACCAAAATGCTTTTGGGGAAATTGGTAAATCTTACATGCATTTGGCTAAAATGTGAAGGGTTGGCAAACTACAGCCCATGGGCCAAATTCAGCTGCTGCCTGTTCTTGTAAATAAACTTTTATTGGAACACAGCCATGCCCATTCATTTTGGGACTGTCTACAATGCTATGACGGCAGTTAAGTAGTTGTGACAAGAGACCATATGACCCTTTGCAAAAAAAGTTCACCAAACTCTGCTCTATATAATTGAACTAGAATAAATTAAAAGTTAAATGAACTGTATCTAATTATGCTATATATATTTTTTATCAGAAAGCATACCTTGGGTAATTATTATGTATTTATAATCATAATATGGTTGCAATACCCTACAATTTGCAATCTGCAATTAGCAATTCGACAAACAAAAGATAAATGTAGTATTATGTAAAATTTGGGGATTCATATTTTATATATCT